ATTATGCGAAAAAGAAGCAAAACATGTGAAAAACCGTAACAATAAATAAGGAAATAAATCGCATTTTTGTCATTGACAGCTAAATTCATATGACAAAAACAATCCGGTATATTGGAATAATGATGATGGAAACGATCGAAAATATGAGATTGTGTAACCGTGATGACGCACATGCATTCAATTATTATTTCCAAAGAATAATCGAAAATATCCTTTGATATTACCCAACATGTAATGTTTTGCATTCATATGAAATGTATTATTGTGACACTGAACTGCAAGCCACTTTCAATGTGTTCAATTTTATTGGCTTCATGATGGTTTCGGATAAACACAAACTGAATTCATTGGTTTAATTGCATTGGTTGTTTTTCACAATCCACGTTCAAGGCCATTTGAAGATAGAGCGAGAGAGAAAGAGCGGGCGAGCGAAAAATATGTGCATTGATGCATTTGTAAGTGTGAATCAATCATAGTTCTCTTGAGACAAATGCCCCAATACAAAAGTAAATGGGAAAAGCTTTTGGTGTGCACCAACGAAAAAAACATAAAACAAACAAACGGTTGCAATTGTCACTGTCATTGCCATTGTATGCGATTTTTTTATCATTTACATTTGCATTTATCTTTGTTGCACTTGGATATGTTTCTTATTTTTTTTTGTTTCAAATATAGTTTGCTGCGCAATAAATGTACTTATATATAACGCCAATATCGACAGAAAATAAATCGATTTCCTTGCTCATTTAGTTTGTTATTTGCGTGCACTTTTCCGCTCATTTGTCTAATGAAGCCGAATTTTAAAGTGGATTTTCCATTAAAAAACACGAAGAAGTTATATTGTTTTTAATTTGTTTTCTTCAAATAATGATAGATAAGCATGCAACTAACGCAAAATTAGATCAGTAATGGAGAAGAGTTGAACAACAAAAAAAAAAGAATTCCAGATAAATTAACTATATCGTGACTATTGATAGTCACATAACCCAAATCGCGCCTCAAAATAACTTTTTAACTCAAAATAATCACATGGCGACTTAAAACGATAACATTCGTTTGCAATTTCATTATATCCAATTGTAGACTTATTGAACGAACTGGAATCGAGTGAAAAAAAATTTCAAAGTTGCTTCGGTTTAAATGTTTATTGTGCAACGAACAAAAAACCTTATCTAACATGACGCAATTACTCAGTTTCGATTGAAGTTCACATAACAACAAGCGCAAGCGCGCACACATATTACATATATGACATGGAAACAACATCGTACATATTTTGTTACTGATGAATCGATCATTGATGATTTTTTCAATATGTTTCTTCCCCCAACGTCAATTTTTTTTTTGGGTTCTATTAAATATAATCACAGTCGATTAAAACTATAAAAACATAAAGTACGCCCATTTCCAAAACATACCCACTACGAAAGAAGGAGAGTAAAAAAAAAAACAATTTTCGCGACACAAAGTGCATAGAAAATCTTGTTTTAGAACTCATTCAATTATGCAAATACATCGATAGTAATAGAAAGAGAAAAAAGACGGAACATAAATTTGTTCGTGAGACTGAAGTTGTGTACAGATGAGTAAACACACACATGACTTTAACCTTGCACCTAATAATAGAGATGCACTTGTACTTGCTACATGAATGCATGCACTCACAAATATTAGTTCGCAATAGAAAACAGCAACAGTAATGTGCGTCGTTTATTATAATTCAAATCCCCACTTGTTTTGCCATTTCTATCTCTCTATCTATAATTCTATATCTCTATTTCGCATCTGTTTTGTATTCAATGTGCTCCCTCCTCTTCCCGTTGCATTTTTGCGCGCTTATTGATATTTTTTCTTATTTCCTCGATTCATCTTCGCTATGATTTTCGCATTGCGCAATTCAATAGTTTGTTGTTTGTCGTTTTTTTTTTTGTGTTGTTTTGATTTTTGCTAACGAAATTGAGAGCTGAAACATTGTTGATTGAACGGACGATTCAGAGTATTAAAACAGTTGACTAAGTCCCACAAATCATCTAATAAAATAATTGAAATTGAAAAGAATGACTAGTACTACGTGCACATTTAGATACTAGGATTTACCTTGAAACCGCAACGAAAATTCATGGTCAATGATAACGATAAGTAAAACTAATATAAATGGCGATTTGTACAGTCTCGTTCACTGTTGTTCACTCTAAGTGTACAGATTTGTATGTGTGTACTTGCCGCGAGTACCAGTGCAATTGCGAATGTATAGTAAAATGCATGCCACTAACGGCACGCTTGTTGTTCGATGCAAACCATTCAATTTACGATGTACGAATGAAACACAAACATTCTCATATAACTTACATATTCAAGCACACTTTTAACAATGAACTCAACTGTCGGCAAGTGACAGATTATTCTACACAATGTCTTCCAATCTTTGTTCGTATTGCAGTTTTTTTGTGTCTTTCTCGGCCAGACATGCCGATCGAATAGAAAGCTTATCTGTATAAAACAAAAATGTGTTATATTCAAATATGTTCCAAATTTATAAAAAAAGAAATGAGAATAATAATAAAAAAATATCAACATTCATTCACTTTCTACCGGAAATAATTTCAATTTTATTTTGGCTCGCGAATCAAAGCATGACAGTGTTTCTAATTGACGATCAATGAGAGAGAAGGAAAAAATGCTTGGCCGAATGTTGCAGAACGATTTCATAACTCCCCTCCTCTTATTCTCAATTAATCAATTTTGCATGTATGCGGCACAGAAAAATCATCTTGTTTATTATAAAATTGCAACGAGATTTCTTTGCCAAGTGCAAGGTTGTTCGATCAAACCACGTTTTTTTTTCGTCATTGTTACTCTTCCGGGAAATTATCAAATTACAATTCGGCAAATACACATGCACATATTTTTATTTTGTGTATCACATGAAAAATATTGATGAAATAGGCGCGAATCGCAAAAACATCACATGAATCGTGGCCGCACATTTTTACACGTATCAGAATTCTAATTGAAGTGTGATAAGCCCAAAGTGCACAAAGGAAATGTGTATTTGTACAAAAAATTTATGGTGACAACAATTAGTTGATTTAGTTAGTTTTTAGAATTTTGCATACACTTTTTTTGTACCGTATTTATAGCAGCTATCATCTAATGAAACTGCGATTGTGAGATAAGTGATCTGAATTGTGAATAACAAAGAAGTAGAGAGAGAAAATGCATGCATACATATCAACCGGTCCAAACGTATAAACATGTTGTGATAACTGTTTGGCCCAACATTGAGTATTGTATAATTGTAATCAGGAAGCGATGATGAAATTTTCAACGTTATATAATCTCGGTGATTTGTCAAACCGATTTAAATGTGCAATTTATTTATGAATCGACATCATCACAGTAACATAAACGCACTATTTGATCTCATTTTCCACATGCAATTCTTTTGGAAAATTTGATAAAAAAATATATATGATTATTTCTTCAAATTGCATCGCAATAGAGGGCTTGCATTCACATGACAAATAAAGAAATGGCTGAAAGAAATCTAATCAAACACAAATATGAAATGTACTAGCACTTATTTGGGAGCGGCGAGATGCTTTTAAATACGACATAAACACACACACAACCGTATAAAATACGAGTATGACAATTGAATAGAAGTTCAATTATAAAATAAACTTTTCCGTGATTGTAAATTGTTTATGAAAACTACAAAATAATCATTTTAAGGTCATCTTATATCACAATTGATGGAGTTGTAAATAGAAGAAGCGAACGAGAAATTATAGTGCATCGCTTCCTATATTTGTGATAAGCGATGAATTGCATAGGGTTTTATGGTGTTTTCGTCAATTTTGTTATTGCATTTGATGTGTACAAACGTATTTCGTCATAAGGGTACTTGGGACAAAATCGTTGTTATTTGCATTTGAGATGATGGAATGCTTTTACTGCAAAAACGTACAGTACTATATTTGATATGGTGTGACAAGTGTGTTTAAGTCTGCATTTGCACATCATGAGCAAATAAAATCCAAATTAATCGGATAATATTGCAAATGGCATTAAATATTCAAACCGACAATATCGATGTTTAAACATTTTCCAATTTACAATCCAAAAAGCATTGAACGATTGACGCACAGACATGGTTCCAAGTATTTCTTCACTCAATCGGAATGTTCATTAACCGTTGTCAATGTTCGGTTAGTGTAACCTCATTCGAGGCTAGAATATTTTGTATACGTCATTCGTTTTTCTCGATCATTTTCTGTGCACCGTGTATTCGAGTATATGTATCTGCATATGTGTATGTGTTTTGTATTTTTTTTTGTTGCTGCCTCAAATTCGCAACTCAATATTTGATGTTCAATGCAAGTGCAAGTTCGCTGCATTGTCGGCTGTCGGCTATCGAGTACATCCAATGCGGAAGCTTAATGAGCAAAAATGATTTTGTGAAAACCGAATGCATGGATATGTATTAGAAGCTTTTGAATGTGCGCGCAAAATATGTGTAATATGCCATTGAGAATGTGTGAACGTGCGAGAAACGAAAGCAAACTGCACTTCACATTCGCATGGAATAGTTGGAATTTTATATGGTTGCTACATGATGAGCACATAGTAGTTTTATTTATTGGCCGATTCTGTATACAATTTTTTTCTCTCGTTTCGTTAGTTCATCGATAAAATTAAATGCATTTTATTTTATATTAAGCGATCGCTTTGAAACATTTCGTTTTCATTTTGTGCCACACTCCATATTGGGTATGACGCAGTTAAACGTCTTGTTCCTTTCCGTGGATAATACAATACTCCAAAGGGAAGTGATGAACAATTCGGTTTGCGCGACTACGGTTCCGTTGTGTTTGATATCGGTTTTCTTTCGTACTTCGATTGATACATTCAATTATTTATCTATTTACTCTATGAACTTGATTACTTTATTAATAATTTTTATTTTTCACTCCTTCATATCGTGTTCTTCAATTTAGACCAATATGGCGGTTAATAGTCAACCGCGAAGTATTACACCTGAAGGTCAACAGGAGTATGATGTGACTCGTATGCGAGAAGAGGACTTTGAGCGATTGGCGGTTTATATTGTGCCCGATGTTCCATGCGAACGGGGAACTATTGGTCGAGCCGAAAAAACTCTGCCAAGAAGCTTAACATTAAAACCATCACTCGTTTTATCTACGCCAAGTGTAAAGGTACGGTAATCAGCATTGGGTCAATCAAATGTGGTCGCTGTTTTGATGTTGCGCGCCAAACAATAAATAATAAATGATTTATGATATATTGTTTTTTGTTGCTTTTCATTTGACACAGACTGAAGGTGTGTGGAGCACAGGTGTTATTCCACGTGGAACACGTTTTGGACCGTTCGAAGGAATTCCAACACCAAACTATCCAAGTGATAAAAGTTCATGGAGATATTTCTGGCGGGTTCGTACCTTAAATATTTATTTTATATCTATTATTCATTTATTTGCTAGATCATAAAACATTCACCACTGCATTTAGTTATAGATTGTTCTTATCACCAATTAAATAATATCTCATATGAAATGTTGTTGTTCCTTATTGCTATGAACATTGAAACTGTCGGTTTTTTTCATCCTTTTTTTTAATATGAACTACTAACCTATCTACAGTATTCGCTCTAACTCACAAATAATTTGCTTGTAATTGTACAAAATTGATCCTTATCCAAAATTTAACGAACATTTTCTCTTGCTATGTTTCTAAAATGAAGGTGCAGGGAACATGTCATGTAACATACGGAAATATTAAGGTAAACTAAAGGTTTTTATTCCCACCAAAAAAAAAAAAAAAAAAAAAAAAAAAAAAAATTCAAAAAAAAAAAAAAAAAAATAAAAAATTTTTTAAAAAAAAAAATTTTTTATTCCAACAAAAAAAAAAAAAAAAAAAAAAAAAAAAAACATTGCGAAAAAATCACAAATGAATTCATCTATTCTTCATAACTCACATTTTTCTATTGAAACATTGAACATAACATGAAAACATCCATTTTGTGAAATGCCTCTGTACCATAAAATGGCTAAAAAAAATTATTGTATTTATTACTTAACTAATTAGATATTCAAGGACAACGATTACTATTATCTTGATGGTTCTGATACGAGACAGGCAAATTGGATGCGATTTGTTGCGTCCGCCTACAGTTTACAAGTGATGAATTTGGTTGCCTGTCAGCATCAGGATAACATTTATTTTTACACAATTCGCGACATTATGCCGAATGAAGAGCTAATGGTGTGGTATTGTCGTGATTTTGCCAAACGATTGGGCTATGATGTTGACCCCGAACGCACAACATATTCCATATGTAAGGAAGAGGCAATGAAAAAATTACCGGCTAAAACATCACCGGTCGCTCCAGAAATTGCATTTAATCATGTTAAATACGTAATGGGATTTGCATTGCCGCCACGTTCATCGCCCAGCCCATCGCCACCGTTGCAAACAATCGTTCAACCACAATTACAAGCTCAAGCTTTGGCTCAACAAACACAACAAAGCTTATTGCTCAAAAATGGACGTCCGCTTCATCAAACTGTTGTTCATTTACGTGAAACACAAGAGGTACGAAATATGTTGCCCGTACAGGTGCTATTACGTGATCAATCACCAATTCGCGAAGGTAGCAAAGAAAAAGATGCACATTCACCAATCTCACACAAAGATACACACTATGAACATCAATTGACACCAAACGATGGCTCGGTACGATCGGACGAAGGCTATCAAAGTAATGAACATTTTGAAGATGGCCTCACACCACCGGAAGATTATAGTGACAGCGAAGATGAAAATAACTACGTTTTGGACTGTTCGAAAAAAGCAATTGAACCGAAAGAGACGGTACTATGTAAATCGGAAGATAAAAATGAATATCGCAAAGTTAAAATGAAGATGCCATTGAAGTATGAATTCAAAAAGAAGTCCATCAAATTGGAGCAAATGAGCAAAGACTCACCGTCAACCGATGATGAACTAATGCCACTACAGTCCAAAGAACCATCTTCGCCACGTCGAGTGATAACGCCAGCCACAAGCACAGTGATTGTGCTAGAAAACTCATCAGCACATACAATTGTTCCTCTTACGAAACCATATTATGAAGGTATGCACATTATTTGTTTACATTTTTTTGTGATTCTTTTCGATTCTTATAATTGCAATTGGAGAGTAATTTTTCTGTGTTTTTTTTTTTTAATTTCAATTTTTATAGCAACCGCTTCAGAAACGGTATCTCCACCAATAATGGGTTACACACCCCCCAGCTCTAGTATTTTAGAAACTATTTTAACCGGAAATCGTGTAATTTCTGGTAAGTATTTGTGGAATAAACAAGAAAACGATTGGATATGAAATGAATCTAATTGAAATGTTGAATAATCAGGAACGCGACAACCGAATGCAACACCACCACCAACGTCACCGACTGAAATGGCTTATTCCTATAAAAAATCTCACCGATATGGCAACGCATGCAGTCCAGATTCGAGCTCAAATTATACTCCAAATTGTCAATCAATCAGTGCGCCAGAGACAATCGAAACGAGAGACATGCCAAAGGAACGATCACCAACTCCTCCAACTGTACCATCATTAGCTTATGCAAGTCAAACTAGCACACCAGCTTCAATGACGTACGAACAGCATCGAACATCACCATTCTCGTACATGCTTTCATCGGCAAACAATGTCATTTCGCATGTACCAAGTTCTACATATTCGCCACCATTGAGCAATGGTCACTATGAACGCATTTCCAATCATTCACTATCTCCATCGGGCAGTTTGCTCTCATTACAAGGTAAGTATTCATTGTTTTTTTTTTTTTGTAGTTTAAACCAAAATCCAAATAAATATGATTTGATCATATTTGCAGGTCAACTTCTTTCCCATCCGATAATGACGCCGCTAACTCCATTGCAACGGCTGTCACCGAGCATGCGAGCATCACCTCCATGCAGTCTTAGCCCAGATGGATCGTGCACCAGAAGTGGTAGCCCACTAAGTCCCGGCGGTACATCACGTGGCTATCGCAGTTTGCCTTATCCATTGAAAAAGAAAGATGGTAAAATGCATTACGAATGCAATGTGTGTTGCAAAACATTTGGACAATTATCGAATTTGAAAGTGCATTTGCGTACGCATTCCGGTGAACGGCCTTTTCAATGTGGTGTCTGTACGAAATCGTTCACACAGCTTGCCCACCTACAAAAGCATCATCTTGTTCACACAGGCGAAAAGCCCCATCAATGCAATATTTGTAAAAAACGATTCTCATCAACATCAAATCTCAAAACTCACCTTCGTTTGCACAGTGGTCAAAAGCCGTATGCATGCGATTTATGTCCGCAAAAATTCACACAATTTGTGCATTTAAAGCTTCACAAACGATTACACACCAACGATAGACCATATGTGTAAGAATTACTTTCAAATTTTATTTTTATTTTGAAAATGACAGAGAACAAAAAATAAAATACTTATCTCTGTATTTATTTAAACAAAAACATATAGATGTCAAGGTTGCGATAAAAAATACATTAGCGCATCGGGACTTCGAACACATTGGAAAACGACTAGTTGCAAACCAAATAATATTGAAGAAGAATTGGCACTTGCAGCCGCCGCTACCAACGAATGCTTAGGTAAATTTCTTCATCAACATTTTTCTCGTCATTAAATTATTGAAATTACAATTTATTGATGATTATTTTAATATGTGTTATGTGTTACACATAGATAAGGAACACGAAAACGATCCGAAGGACATGTATGAAGTACAACAACAAATTCATATGCGAAACATTGATCATCATCATTCGTCTAATTCACCGTCGCGTTTATTGAGTATTCACTCTCAAGCGCATCCACTTCAATCGAACCCACCAATGCATCAACCCCAAAAGAATCATCACATGCAACACCAAGTATGTTTAATTTACATTCAAAATGACACAAATAACATTTTTTCAATTTGATCTTACTTATTTTATTTTTCGGCAATTTGTCGCAATTGCAGCAAACACAACAGCAGCCTCAAAGCCAATCTGTTCAACAGCAACCATCTACAGCTCAACAGACACAATCGAATGGACATTATACGCATCATTCACACCAACAATCAAATGGCGAACGTCCTAGCGTCATTGAATCCAATCAAGCATTAATAATTGAATGCACGTAATTATTATCCAGTGTGTGAAACGGATGAGAAAGAGATAGAGCAAGAAGCTATAATGGTTTTTGATCCGACTTGTGATTATCATTGTTTAAAATGAAGCTAAATTTAATGAAAAGAAAATAATGAAAGATGATACAAACAACACATTAAAATGAACATTTAATTATTATTATTCAATAATCGAACTAAAATGATTAATTGTAATGAGAGCTTGTGACTGACCCATTAGGTATTTAGACTAAATAAATAGCTAAATTATATTATAATCAAATTAAGTGATGAATGACGGAAGTATTGAGTGAATCAAATGTCTAAGATGAAAAGAAAAAAGAAAATGAAGCAGAAAAACAACAAATACATAGAAATACACACACTTTGTTAGGCTACTTTACTGTATAATGAATTAAACTATAAATGAAAAAAAAAACTTATTGACTATTAATTTAAACAATATGATTATTTTCATACAATTATACAGATAATCTTATATGGTTAAGGTACTAACTTATACAATTAAGCTAGAAATTGATGAAAAATTGGTAAAAAACGAAAACAAATGAAACTCTAAAAATGATTATATTGCAAATGGTATGATTTCGAGTAAGGTGTTTATTGAAAAATGTTGAATCAAATTAGTAAAATCAGAACTCAAAGGTGAAAAACAAATGTTAACGGAAGTATTCACGACGCAAACGCACAGAAAAGCAAATTGAGCATTCTAGAAATTACATTCAACAAAATTCCCATAATGCGATTTTTTTTAGCTGTTTTCGTTATTTTTTTGTAACAGTTTTCCTTATATTTTCCCATGTGGGACATTAAAGCGCGTGAAATGTACATAAATCCAAAGCAACGTTGATGCAGTTTTGATAAAAATGTTCTTTTAGATGTAAAACAAAAAAGTACTAGAAATATTGATAACTGAAAATAAATAATTTTATCACATTTACAAGTAAATCTTTAATGTTAAGGAATATTAATTTAACAAAACGTAGAACGTCAAAACAAAAAGAAGAAAGTGGTTGAAAATAACAATTTTCTTCATTTTTTTATGAAAAAAAAAAAAATAATAACAACAAACAAACTGATCAACTCAACAACAGACGATTTTTTTACAATTATTATGAAAAATTCGAATTTCATTGAAAAATCCATTCAATCTGTTGTATTTTTTTTGTACAATTTGAGACATCTGTTAAGTATTATTGTAAAACAATTTATCCACGACGAACAAAACACATACACACGCGCACTATCGACACTAAGAGACTAAGAGACTAAGAGATATACATTTAAGATAATGAATACGAATAATAACTTATATTGTTATATTCCTTTTATGTAAAAAGAAAACACACACACATACACACAAACAAAAACAAAACAAACGGTGACAAAATCAACATACAGCTTTCCTTTCCTTTTTGCCTTGCAAAAAACTCTTATACGCTGAAAATATCATTTCATCGATCCATTTACTTCAGATTTTCTTTGATTTCGGCTGTTTTTCCCCATCTCGTTTGTGTATTTTATTTCTATTAAACATTATTATGTTGATATAGATTTAATGGAAGAAAAGAAGAAAAACACGACTACATATATTGTACTAATAAAGGAAAAAAGAAACGGATGTATGCTATATATATATATAAAAAAAATTGGCAAATTATGATCGCTTTAAGTAGCACAACAAAAAAACTAAGCTCTAGATGAACAAATGAAATATTTGGAGATAATGTATAGTTTTTAGCTATTTTTTATTTCTCGTATTTTGATTACGAAAAATGTCTACATAGCGAAAAGTTATTGCAATTGTGTTTGATTGACTTTACGTTTAAAAGGCACTTACACCGTACTAAGAAATGACATACACACATATAACGTGTCCTTTAACATAAATTCAATTTCACGTAATCCAACAACATCACACGATAGGAAAATTGTATGGACTTACTTTTATTCTCATTATTAATAATATTCTCATGATTATATTATTATTATTCTCATATTATTATAATTATATTTTTCCCCTTAGTTATATTCCAATTTAAATTATATAATTAAAACAAAAAATGAAATGAAAAATGCAATGTACGAAATCTAGCGATCCAAAGAAATTGTCGCCAGAAAAACAGACCAACAGTTGACTGACGTGATAGAAAATTGTTTTGAAACTTTTCGGCTGAATTTTTCAAGTGAAAATCTTTGATCTGATAGATTTCGAACTTGTGCCTTTCGAACACTTATTACACTCACATTAAAAACAGCAAAATACAAATTATGAAAACAAAATCACTGCTTTTGTTATTTTTGCATTTATTTTTTTATTTTTTTAAATTGGATATTCGATTTTTGATTTTTACAGTTCTTTTTCGTTCAATTTTTTGTAGCCATTTTCTTCAACAACTCAAACATCATATTCTATCCATCGATCGATATAATTATATCCAATAACTAATTGTTGGGCCAAATTCATCCATCATTGGGCATATGTTGACGGTCAATTTTGTGGCCGGATTTGTGTGTAGTTTCAGTCATTTTCAACGTCACCAGTGGGAGAAAAAAGGAAAAAGAAAGAGTTAGTTAAAATTTGGTTAAAAAAGAGCCATATTTCTATCGGCGAAAATTGATTTTTTTCGAATGTTATTTAACTGAATGCCACATCCGAATTAAATTCATTTTTAACATTGTTGAGATGTGAAATCTTCTTTCACTTTGTGCATCAGAATGGCCAAGTTTTTTAACTGCATCGAATATGCCGTGTACCTGAGCATCGTTTTCCCTTTTTTATGCCAATTGGTGAATTGGGTGCCATATCCACTGCTCCGATATTGATAAGCGATGGCTTATTTTTTGTTATTACTTTCGCCAGCCAATCTTTCTCACCTTGTGACCCAATGTATTTGTCAAACGAAAGCCGTGCATATTGCATCTTTCACCATGGTTAATCGACGCCTGACGTAATTTCTCCATTGGATTCTTCGCGGTGATGGTATCGATGCTAGAGAGAGAAATTAAATAATTGCATAAATTTAATTAAAACACTTTTTCATTTGAACAATATATAAACAAATATAGAGCGGTCAAAGAGCTACACTTACTGCTGTGAAATTGACTTTTTATTTGTGTTGTCGAAGAAAACGATTTATTTAGTCACTTTCATTTCACCATCAGAATATATTGTGTTTTGATTTACAAAAAACTCCTTCTGAAATGTTACGATTGAAACTAATCAACACAATGCACCGTACACATTTGAGTCGGCGAGAAATGTCAAATTATAAACAAAGAGAGATGTGTGATTTTCGGTTAAAATTTGAATTTTGCTGACACAAGCAAATTAAGAAAGATCTGAGTGAATACACAGAGTGAAACATAATGTATATGTAGACAGAAATGCATATTAATAATCAATATGTTGTATCAAATGCTGTTATTGCTTACGAAGCATACTGTTAATCAATGAACACACATAGCTATCACACGGAGTCTGTCGAAACGGCTCAATTCGTAAGTCTTTCGCGTTTCTGGATCCAATTTGTCATGGAGTGGATGCACAAAAAAACAAATCATAATGCTCAACTCGATACTTTAACGCCTTTAATTGCCGTAAAACCTCGTGGGTTGTGTTGCTCAATTTTTGTAACATTTTACCCGAGGCCGTCTCTAATTTAGGCAATTCGGTAAATTTCCATAGCAGCTCTTTGCTAATATGAAATTCTCGATTGTACAATTGCTCTATTCTTGCTTCATCCCAATTACTTTGTAATGTCTAAATAGATGGCGTCTGTTTGATGTCCCCTCCCCATGTTGATAATCGTTTTTGATGTAAATTCCATTAAATTTGTTATCTTTGACCTGTTTTTGATGAATCTATGCTGGCTTTCGTGATCGACCTTCATTTTTCGATTATCGATTCAATTGAAATAGAGATAAATACACAAATAAAGAGTCTTACGGTAGTAAGACGAACTTTTCCGCACGGTGGTAGTTGCGTATTTTATTAAGCTAGTTCAAAATAATATTTGTTCGATTTTTCAAGCCTTAATTCGGCGTAAATTTCGAGACCAAAATTATGTTCAAACCTTGGCAACGAAATATTCTTTAATTAAAGATTTTTCACACTTTCATGATGAACCCATTTGTACGACATTTGAAAGTATTCTATTTTCTAACAAAACACTATAAAAAATATGTCTGACGTTAATTTTGCCATAAAAATTATTTTTGAAACACTTTTCATAACTAAAGTCACAAAAAATTTGGATTTTTGTATGGGAATCATGCCTGTATGGTATCGTAAGGACGTGAAACTTTGCACAGGTTATTTTTTCACCAAAAAACAACATTCGGAGGGTTTGGAGAAATTTCAACCAAAATTAAGGGTACCTCCCATATAAATATTCATTTTTGAGCCAAAAATTGAAAATTTTGTATGGTAGGTACCCCTAATTTTAATTGAAATCTCTCCAAACTTTCAGAATGTTATTTTTTTGTCTAAAAAATAGTCTGTGCAAAGTCAACGTCATTAAGGTAGCATACAGACAAGGCTTCCATACGAAAATTCAATTTTTTTGTGATTTTTTGAAGGAAACTGTATCAAAAATTGATTGTATCTCAAAACTAAAGTCGGATTCGGTTTTCTCGTGCCAAAAAACTCCCAATACATATTTTTGAGTGTTTAAGTCTACATAAAGTATGACTTTTGGATGAGAATTGGACTCTTTTTCATAGGTATCACTCCAGGCATGGAATTTTTTTCCATCAACCAAAATCGCTCAAAATCTAATGATTTCTATTCCTCGGGAGGGGGTCCCATGAAGATTGGGGGAATCATCCCGTGAAGTCAGATTTTAAATAACTTTTCTGGGGGTGAGATAATCGATGGACAAATTTTGCGTACGGCGGACAACGTACGACGTACGACGTGGAAGCGACCCACAACAGCCATGCTTAAAACGGCCTGATTCGGGTTCTCTGACCTTAGAAACGTCCAGAAAACATGTTTTTGAGGTTTCGTAAATTTTGACCCATTGCAATACTTTCCCCTTACACACTAAGTGTGTGCGGAAAAGTAAAAATAGTGGAAAGAGTGTGCAAGCAATTGCGATATTCATAGGCAACAGTGAGAGAGCGTTACTCGCGTCATATTCATTCAATCCATTTGCGTTATTATCGCTGACCACCAACTGTGGTGTATCGTGCTTTGCAAGCAGTTATCATAGCGCTTTTATAGCGACGATCATCACTTTCCTCCCGGACACTGGACCGCGAACTCTTTATGTAAACACAATCGAAAAGAGAAATGTGTATGTATGCGATGCGATTATTGTTTATAAAAATGCTTAAAACTTCAACTCCGACATCAAGTCTCACACCAGTGAATAAAACAAATGGAATTATTCTATTGAAATATATTACTTTTTTTGCATACAATTTTCGTTCGAAAATAACCAATAAACTGGGCCAAAACATTACATTTTTCAACGTTAAAATGGATAAAAAACATTACATTTAAATGTCTTTTTTTACAAGATCGGATTCGAAAAGATTCTCTTTAATATCAAATCAATATTCGGTACTTGAAAAGAGTCATTTAGTAAATAGCATTAAGATAAGGTTTTGGTTTTGCTTCAGAAAAAAACAGTTTGTTTAAATGAAATCAATGCACTTTAAGAATGCCGAAAAGGGCTTCTTTATTTTACAAAACACACATATATACTTTCGAGAAGTAAAGTATACCGGTTTCATTAGAAAAAGTATTTCATTAGTGTTCTATGTAAATCTGATTCTAATTGTATCAACTCAAAATATAAATTACAGAGGGAATTTTACTGTTATAGCGTAGTTCATATAATACAATTTTGTGCGTAAACGTAAACAAATTTATATTGGGTTATACACAAATGTTGTCTACAGTTACAAGGTCCGATCCATGTCTTTCTTCTTCAAATTCTGCTCAATTATGTTTGTATGAAACACATTTTTGACTGAACCTTATTTCCAAACCGAAAAAATTGTTGTTTCTCTCGTGGAATTATAACGAGCCTTTTAATTAAAAACAGCCTAGTTTAATACTTAATTTCTAAGAATTTTCTCTAAACCTAAATGGTGTTAAGGTTCCAAAAAAATGAATTTTATCTATTACAGCATTAATTTAATCGCATTGACCTTAGTTGGAATCAGTTTGACAAAATTGTATTATGAACTGCTCTAAAACATTGGTTTTTTCTTTGATATATTATGGACTTAATTGTAAAAAAAAAGTGGAACACAAACTAAAAGCTGAAATTTGGTGCTTAACCTCCTAAATGTGGGGGCGTTTCGTTATAAAACAAGGAGGTTTCTTTTTTACTTGCATAAGAATAAACAA